GTGATGATCTCAGAGGTTTTTTCCAACTGAGTGATTCTGTGAGATGCTCCCCACATTTCCACACGACTCCAGAGAGACCCTGCTCTATGTTGTCCTGAATTTCACACCGCTCTGAGGACCTTAGCCAAGGCATCAATGGGATCAGATCAGTAACGGCTGCCGTGGCTCACATTGATTTTAATCAGACCGAAGTTGAGAGAGATGGGTTTTGTTCCTGTTTTCCTGGCCCCTGTTTTTCCTGCCGGGCTGTCTCTAGGAGCGTGTTTTGGGCAGCTCGCCCGGTGTGTGGTGATGGATGTTCACCAAACACAGCATTTTCAGTGCAGGGCCTCGGAACAGAGCCTCGGCGTTGTGATATCCTGCACTGTAACAAATAATGCGACGGCAGAACCGCAATACGGAGGAGCGAAAGATGAGCAGGAACCAGACGGCCATCGGAGACTGGGAATTGTCCTCGCACCCGGTGAGGAGGACTGGGAGAACTGGGAATTGCTGTCGCTATGGATGGGCAATAGGGACACGGCCAAGTGAGGCTGTTGATGTGACAACTTGGTGATGGGAACATCTGGTTGGGAGTTATCGTACCGGATCATGCCACGGATACCAGGAATACACCGAATTTACCACCACAGGAACATAACCGAGCTTTGAGGAGTCCGTTTCTGCACAGAGGCCCCCAGGGCTGGGCTCAGGGAGTGCGGAGGCTGCGAATGGTTTTGGGTGATGCCGTTTCTTGGGACGCAGTCACCACGAGGCCTTGACAAGTTATCGTTTGTGCCGCAACCTGGAGACTTAAGTGCGTTTTTAAAGTAAGAGTTTGGTTGGTTTTTTCGTAAGCAGGACACAAGTTCACAAGGGAGCGTCACATTGGGTTTATTTAAATAACAGCTCACATTTTGTGATGTGAAAGGGTGGGAACCTGTGTAAGTGTGTGCTCTCATGAAGGCAAAGTACGGATTTGTAAAGGCAAGCGATGATTCCCGAGTCCAACCGGGAAAAATGGTAGTAACAAATATTTCAGGTCCTGCTCTTCAAATACCTTGGTTTGAATTTCAGTAGTCGGCTTTAGGACGACAAATGATGCGGACAAATTCTTCGTATTTTATTGTCCCGCTTGGCCCAACTTTGGCTTCCTTTAGCAGGTCATCAACTGAAAGAGTGAAAGAAAAATACAGGTTTGAGTGGCGTGTATTGGGGATGCAATGTTCAACAGAAGAGCAATGCGGGATTTGGGTTTTCAGATCATTTTTGTTAGAAGTGATAACGTCTGGGATCAGTTGGAGGTGCCATCCAGATGATGGCTCTAAACCAGCATCAGCGAGCACTCGGATGTGGATCCCCATGTCTGACTTAGTGGACATCTCCATCTCTTCAAGCTCCACATGGAGAAGCTTCACAAATTTAAGCCAAACCGGCTTTTAATCGCTCTTGGTAGGAGCGGCTTGTTCGGTTTCTATAGCAAACCCGTCCCTGTTCAATTTAGACAAAACCAAGCGCTCGTGCAGATGTGTGCCCACCTTTTAAATACATCTATGTGCTGCCTCTTAATATCAGCAGGTCTTTAGTGTTTGAAAGGGAGGAAAAGCTCAGTGGGGCTCTGAGGCTTCTGCTGAAAATGCATCTGCAAAAGTGGTAATGGTGCTGTTGGGAACACCTTAGCAGAGACAGCAGTTACCTACTTGAAATGCTCTTATCACCAGGCTAAACCATTAAAAGGGGTTTTTTTCCTATCAAATAATGTCAATAAAATAGAAATACCTAAGAAGTGACACAGGGAAACGTAATGTTAAGCGTTGCTGGATGAAGCAGCTCCTGGGAACGGGCTGCCATCCTCCTTCGGGTGATGGAAGAGGTGAATTCCCTTTCTTCTTTACTTTACCCATAACATTTAGCGGGTGGGCGCTAAAACAACCACCAGAGAAGCCCAGCAGCTGTATTTGATAACGTTTTGGGCAGCGGTTGCGGTTGATAAGGTATCTAATGCCATCCAGAGCAGGTTTTGGCTGACATTGAGGGGTGTGTGTCAGCTCTTACAGGCATGATGCCGGTTTCCTTCGGGCAGAGGGATGGGGCAGGAGGTCTGTTGGGTTGCAGACCTGCATTGATCTGTTGCTAGACCACTAAAACAGAGGGATGTGCTAATAGGGAGTCCTCCATGATCCCCTGCCCATCTGGAGTCACCCACGTTGATGCTGGAGTGCTGTCCCAATCTGAAATGGGTGGTACAGGGGGTACCTGCAGCCTCCATGGAGCTGCTGCAGCGATGGGTAAATGAGGGGTTGTTGTTATGGCTGTGTCACCGTAAGGTATCGGTGCTTTCAGTCCAGGAGATCCAATCCTCCCCTCAAAAATCACAGAATCCCAGACCGTTAGGGATTGGAAGGGACCTCCAAAGCTCATCCAGTCCAATCCCCCTGCCGGAGCAGGAACACCCAGATGAGGTTACACAGGAAGGCGTCCAGGCGGGTTTTGAATGTCTGCAGAGAAGGAGACTCCACAACCTCTCTGGGCAGCCTGGGCCAGGGCTCTGTCACCCTCACTGAGAAGAAGTTTCTTCTCCAATTGAAGTGGAACCTCCTGTGTTCCAGTTTGTGTCCGTTACCCCTTGTCCTATCATTGTTTGTCACCGAGAAGAGCCTGGCTCCATCCTCGTGACACTCACCCTTTAAATAATAATACCCTGATTGCAATCAAATGCTTCTACAGGCATAAATACCAGAAAATAACAAATTCTTCCCAGAAGATTGAAAAATAACGTGGAAGAAAAATGTGTCAGTTCTCATTTGCTGAAATTACATCGGATTAAAATGAAGTGAAGGCTTTTCTGGAGCCGCTGTAAATGAAGGTACACGGCACTGGTAACCCAACTATCACAGACGCCAATGAAATTTGAGTCTGTTCCAGCATCAAATATTTATGGTGGTATAGCAAAGGGGGGATTTCTTGTTGAGAAGAGGCATCTCTCCCTACACTGGGACCTATAGAGCCTTGTTCCCAGTTGTGAGGTGCACAGCCTGTAATGAGAAATCCTCCTGCGCCTCCCAAATCTTCTTTACGTAACGGCGGTTCTGGCGAGGATGCCTTTAATTAGGGTTAAATTAGGGACGCTGCGTTGGTGCATCACTGGTGAAGCTGGTGACGGCGACTGGACCGGCCAACCTTGTCCTAATTCAATCTAAATCCTGCTTTAGCATCGGAAAGGACAGTTCTGCCCTCGAGGAGCCAAACGGGGGCTGTGCAAACCCCGTCACCCAGTAAAAATAACTCCTTGCCCACATTAAACCCTCCGTGGGTTTTTCTCCTTGCTCTCTGCTGAACGTGGAGCAATTAATGTGCGATTTCCAGCGCCCGCTCTCTGCGATGGGGTTGGGTGGGGGGGAGCTGCAGAAGAAGCCATGGGTGATGAGTTTTGGGGCAGGGAGGGGACAGGACACCCCCTCCTGTCTGAAGGGTTTGGATCATGTTTGGCTTCTTGGAAATTCCTTCCTGTTGCGTCTCTTGGAGGCAAATTGTGACAGTTTGGGGGTTTGTTTTACAGGAATCTTAATTAAAAGGTCCCCATCTCTCTTCCAAATTGCTCTGCCCACGTAGGTCACCCATGCAGCTGGGACATGGGCGCTTGCTTCACAAGAACAGCGAAGAGTCTCGGGGTGAAAACTCATCATTTGGGGCAAAAAACTCCAAAAAAGGGAAAGGTCTCAGTTAAGGAGCATCTGGCTCCCCTCTTCTGCATGGCACAACCTCTGCTCGGTGGTGGTGGGGTGGTAAAGGGGATTCTAAGGAGGATGGGGAGCATTTAATGCCTCTTTGAATGGTAAAATACCTTCGTCCTCTGACAGCTTCTCTCCGAGCCGGGTCAGCTTGGCCCTCAGCTCCGAAGCGGCGATGAGGCCTCTCTTCTGCCGGTCGATCATGGCCAGGGCCGTCAGGATTTCCTTCTCGGGCTCCTCCTGCTTCATCTGCCTGTACATGATGTTCAGGAACGTGGAGAAGTCCAGCTCTGCGTTTTTATCTGGAGAAATCACAGCAAATCCTTCAGAACCGCTCGGTTTCATGGTCTGGATCCAGACCTAAGCATCCCCTGGCTCTTTCCCCCCCACTTTTCCCTGGCACTGATCTGGCTGACGTGGATCCAACTCTTCCTCTTGGCCTGAAAACCCATTTATGGCTTTGCTGGACCTGTGCTCTAGAGCTGCTGTATCCCAAATTTTAACCCAGCCCACCCCATCTCATGATTCTTTGGTGGTTGTGCTGTGCTTTGAGTTCATTTACCCATATCTACAGATGGGTGCCTTTCTGTGCTCTTGGACTGGATGGTTTCCCATCCTCAGAATCCATAATCAATACGTTTGCTCTTGATTTTTTTACTGTTTTAATGGCACTGTTTTACTCTGTGTGCTCTGTGTTTTACTCTGTGGCTTTGCTCACCTTGTGGTGCTTCCTTTAATAGTGATTGATACTCACCTGCGAGTGAACATCATCTCCTAGACTCCAGGCAGCCTCCTCCCCTGTGCATCTCCCATCTCCAACCCCCAGAAAAGTTGAATTTCTCCAACCATAATAATATAAACCCACGTTTTATTCCAGTGCTGCCCTTTGCTTACCGATCCTGTGCAAGTGCAGGTGTCTCTGCACCTCTCCCGGTGTCGGGCTGGCTCCCAGGCACCGCATCACGGCCATCAGGTCCGAGGCTTTTATCTTGCCTTTTTGTTTCTTGTCGTACAGGGAAAAACACTCCTTGAACTCTAATTAAAACCCAAAACTCTCTGTTAAGCTGTGCCAGGGCACATTCATCTCCCGGTGACGTTTCTTCTCCCGTTGCCCATTGGGAGACTTCCAGCGCGGATATTGTGTCCGGTTCGGGGTTTCTGGTTTCAGGGATGAGCAGCGGGGGGGGGAAGAGCACCAAGGACAATTAAAATCCAGGCTGGGCTAATTGGGGTCTTTCGCCCTCATGAAGCAAGTCTGAAAGTGGAGTCAGGCTGCTGAATGTGTAGAATACTGTTAAAAAAGTACTTTTCTCTGCATTTGTGGAGGATGCTGAAGGAGGTGGAGGTGGAGGATACTGAGGGAAGGGAGGTGGGGGATGCTGAAGGAGATGGAAAGGAGGTGGAGGATGCTGAAGGAGGTGGGGGATACTGAAGGAAAGGAGATGGGGGATGCTGAAGGAAAGGAGGTGGGGGATGCTGAAGGAGGTGGAGAGGAGGTGGAGGATGCTGAAGGAAAGGAGGTGGAGGATGCTGAAGGAGGTGGAGAGGAGGTGGAGGATGCTGAAGGAAAGGAGGTGGAGGATGCTGAAGGAGGTGGAGGTGGAGGATGCTGAAGGAAAGGAGATGGGGGATGCTGAAGGAAAGGTGGGGGATGCTGAAGGAGATGGAGAGGAGGTAGAGGATGCTGAAGGAAAGGAGGTGGAGGATGCTGAAGGAGGTGGAGGATGCTGCTGTGGTCCATGCCACCAGACTTTACTACAAGACACAGGACCGATGATGTGGCGTTGGCCGCGGCATCCCCCTCCCGCGCCTCCCCTTCCCCCTGGGCCGCCGGCTCCGGGTCCTCACATCAGTACGTGCGGGCTGCGGCTGACCTAGATACGGCTGTGCCAGCCCTGTCCTTGTCACGCTCGGCGCTAACGGCGCCTTGTGCCGCACGGGGACGGTGCAGGAAGTAAAACCCCAGCCCATTTTGGTATCTTTGCCCTCCCACCCCTCCTCATCCTCTCTGTCCCCAGACCTTACTGCACCTCGTGTGTGCCCCCCTGCCCCGGCCACCGCCTCCGCTGCAGCAATCCTGCCGAGCTGCTGAGCCCAAGGGCGCTGCAGATTAACAGATTTGCAATAATACTCTTATTTCAGCTTTCTTCTGCCCTTCTCGGAGCAAACCATTCCCTGTTCCCATCCAATGCAGGGGTCCCCGTTCCCAGGAAGAGCCCCCGGTGCCGGTACCTCCTGCACCCTCCTCTTCCTCCTTCACCTGC